TGCAGGACAAACAGGAGTGCATAAATATGAGGGGCACAGGGAGAGGGTTATAGGGTAGGGAGGGGAGGAGACTGGGTTAGGGTTAGACATGATGAATAGGGAATGAAACTATATGTACACATTACAGTGAATGTAAAACAAGCTCTTAAAATAAAAACAGATAGATAGATAGGACATATGGAGATCTCCACGTGACACCAAGTCCAAAGATGTTGAAAAGAGACAAGAGCTTTCCTCTAAAACTATGAGCTGACGGAGAGAGAAAGCCTGCCCTTAGAACTGATGCCCTAAATTTGGACTTCTAGCCTCCTAAACTATGAGCCTAAGGCACTTGACTGCTAACCAGAAGACTGGCAGTTCAAACCCACCAGCCACTCCTAGGAAGGAAGGTTGGGCAATCTACTTCCTTAGTGATGCCGCCTCAGAAACCCAAGGAGGGGTCGTTAAGAGTCGAGTCTGACTCGACGGCACATAACAACAACAACAACAAACTATGTGAGAATAAGTTTGTTTGTTTAAGCCATGCACTTGTGGTAGTTCTGTTATAGCAGCACTAGCTAACTAAGACACTTGGTTCTTCATATGTCAGTGATTTTGCATTGTATCCTAGATCTCATGAATATTACGTTGTGAGACTCTGGGGTCTGTTAAAATCTTCTGAAGAATTTTGACACTTTTTGTTTACCTGACAGTGAATTCAGTTAAGGTCAAACTGGATTTATGTATCTGTCTAGGTAAAGGGTAAGATCATGTGTTCTTGAGGACAGATCATGTGTTCTTCTTTTTAGTCTTCTCAATTCTTTGAACAGTGCCTATCAATGTGAGATGTAGTGTCACTAATGAATGGACTCATTCATTCCATTTTAATACCTGGGGAGCAGATTTTCTCTTTTAATATTGCTAATTCCTTGATCACTTAGGAAGCCCCAATATCTCTTCACACAGATGTGCTGATAGTTTTAATTAATAAACTAGGGTTGTTTGAGTTGATTGCGTTACCTGAGGCTTTAAATGTTCATTTGTATTTATGAGTAGTTAGTGGCTACTTTTTGAGAGAAATAGTGAACTACTTTTTGTATCTATGGGAAGAATTTAATAGAGTTATTTTATTTTTAAGTCTACCACACACACTAAAAAAGGAACACAGAGAAGTGAGGCCAAGCTATTGCATTGTGGGTAACATAGATTTTGATTTTCTAAAACCTAAAACAAAGGTCAAATCTGTCGCTTCTATTTCAGAAATGGAGAAATCTTTGTTTAATTGGTTTACTTAACTTGTGGTTTTTATATGTTTCCCAAAGTCATAAAAAATAAGTCCCTTTCCCACGTAATATTTTACTTTTCTGCCTTATATCTTCATTTTATGCATCCTTGGAGAAGGCAAAATTGATGAAGAACTGTTCCATCTTTATGGGTTTCCGATTATATGACTTAACCCTTAGCAGCCTTTTATGACAGTGCCCTCCATTGCTAATTCAACTCTACTCTTCTCCAATATTTCTTTTTGCATATTAAGGTCCTCACTGTAGATTTTTCAAAAGAATAATGAGATGGCCCATATTTAATTATGTAGTGATGGCTTTTGTTCAAAACTGTAAACACTTTTTTAAAAGATTGTCTGTTGGAAATTGTGGATATGATTTATTCTTCCCTTTGTAACAAACACATAATAATATCTTCTAAAGATAACAGAATAATAAATAGACTACATATTACACATAAAACATTTACAGTTTATTAATTTGTTCAAAATTGGCTCCCTTAGTGTGTTGTGTTGTTCACACCTGAAAGCTGTGTATGTATTATGTAATAAAAATTTTCTAAATCTACAAGAAGGTCTGGTAGCACAGTAGTTAAAATACTTGGCTGCTGACCAACAAGTTTGCAGTTCAATCCACCCAGCCACTATGTGGAGAAAGATGAGGCAGTCTACTTCCATAGGAAACCCTATGGGGCAGTTCTACTCTGTTGTATAGGGTCACTATGAATTGGAATCAACTCAGTGACAGTGGGTTTAGTTTTGGGTTCTTCTTCTCCACTCACCATTTACCCCAGATACACATCATCAGGTTCTGAACCAAGTTCTAAACCAGGTGTAATTTGTCTTCACTCCTTCCACATGTAACCAACCATTCAGTCATGTGTCAACTTCTTCCGCCAATAGCCTGCCAATGGCTCCTTGTTTCCCTAGACTTTCTCAGGGGTGTGTCCCCTGCACCTGACCCACCAGCCATCCTTTGAACCTTCCCAGGGCAAGCTTGATGTGGAAAGCACTCTGGGGACTGATACCCTTCTTTACCATTAAGGCACTCTCCCTGGGCAGCTGCAGGCTTCAGTTGTGCCAAGGGCTTTCTTCAGCCCTCCTCATTCTTTTAGCTATGAAATGATCAGCTAGTCTCTAGAATATTTTCTGAGTGCTCGGGTGTGGTCAAAAAATGCAAAAGCAACTGAGAAACAAAGACAGTAACTCCTGTGCTGAGTCATTAAGACATTAAGAGACAGCAACTCACAGCAACAACAAGAAGCTATTCTGCAGTCGGGGGTGGGGGATGGTTTGTAGCAGCAGGCTTTGAGGTCCTAGATGTGAATCAGCGTGGAATGTGAGGGGAACCATCCTTTGTTCAGATGGCAGTAGCAAACCAGGGCTGTGGAGGAAGGAACAAAAGTACATGTGAGATTTTCTAAGATTCTTGATGTTTACTATAAGGATATGTAAGGAACTAAAGATCAGGACACCATTCTATGAGGTCTCAGAGAATACATATCAGATCTAGTGATCAGGCTGTTGTATTTTTTCCCCCTCAGAAACAGTCTTCTAAGGAACCACCCATGGTGGTGATTCAGTTCTGTTTCCGCATCCACCAATCAACTGACTCCCTTTAATAAATTTTTTCTGTGTGCATCTCACGTTCAGTCCCATAACAGAAAGACTAGCCATGCAACGATCACATTCCTGGTGGCAGCTTTCTTGTGTTGGCTGCCTTTAGGTCAGCGTGGCATCTTGCTTTATACATCAGAAGCTGATGATGGGATCAAGGAGGCTAGAGGCTTGGCAACTTCTGAGACTAATTACAGGAGCAATGATAGATTTCCTTTCTTACCTATTCTACGTGGATGGAAAATGTAAGAGTGGAGAAGTTAGTAGGGACCTTTAGGAAGCCTAGATTTTTTCTGCTAGCTACTGAGAGTCATTGCCTGGTTTTAATCAAGTGAGCAACATGAACATTTGCATTTAAGGAATATCATATTGGTAACAGTTCACAAACTGAATGGAAGGTGATATGAGACTGCTGATAGGATGATAGAAGTGGATTGCCCAACCTTCCTTCTGAGGAGTGGCTGGTGGGTTTGAACTGCCACCCATCTGGTTAGCAGTCTAATGCCTTAGGCACTATACCACCAGCGCTCCTGTAGTTACCCTTAAGGAAAATAAAGAAAATTAGTTAGCCTTATGAATCTTACTGATACTACATTGAATCCACAACTGCCATCAAATTGATTCCAACTCATACTGACCCTATAGGACAGAGTAAGAACTGCCCCATTGGATTTCCAAGGCTGTCAATATTTATGGACACAGACCACTACATCTTTTTCCCATGGACCAGTTGGTTGATTCGAACCACGGACATTTAAATTGGCAGCTGGGCACTTTAACTACTGCACCACTGGGGTTCCTATTGTGTTAAAAGCTATCATGTCTTTTAATAGACTTATGGGGGCAGTAAAGAAATGGATTAAAACTTAAGGATTTGTCTTTTTTTTTTTTTTTTTTTTTTCAGTTAAGTGAATGAATTGGCTATTATAGTATTAGAGGGAAAATTATAGCCCTTCATCAATCACAGTAAATTCTGGTTCCTCTCCTTGATCTATTTGTGCATATTTATTATTCAGAAAAGGAAAAAAACTTGAAAGTATTCCATTAAACTCACTACGTATATGTCAACTCTACTTAAGTCCACAGGTTACCATTTCCACTTGTGTTTACAGAAAATCACCCCTGTACTTGTTTCCACAAGAAATCCAGCTAAGTCAAACATGGGACAATTTCAGCACCTTAATGAGACTTGTGGGTCCAAGCAGAGGAATCATGTCACACGACCCACCACAGTTCATTCTCTTTCTCTCTCTCTTATCTTCTCTCTCTCTCTCTCTCTCATTTTTTCTCTCTCTCAATCTCAATCCCAATCTTTCTCAATCTCTTTCTCTCTCTTAATCTCTCTCTCTCACACACACACACAAACACACACACATACACACATACACACTAACAAACTCATCCATTTTTAATTTTTCTTGCCTGAACTCAGCTCTTCTCTGGCTTCTTTTCCTTTCCCAAATTCTTCCTGCACTTTGCCCTACCCCTAGTCCTCAGTTTAGCATTTCTCAGCCCTTTATTATCCAGAAGAATTTAGCTCCCATTTTTCATTTCCTAACCTAGCCCTTTTGAAGGTGTACATAGTACCACCCCAAGGACCTTACCAATGAACTTTTGTAGCAAACAAAGGCATGTCTGCCTTGCATCTTTAAACCAGCTACAAGAAAATATCCTTAAACATCTTCATTATCCCAGTAGAATACAGCCATTGTTGTGAAAAAGAGAAATAGAAAATACAGGCAAGCAAAAACATAAATAGAAGTCTCTGACAATCCTATCCTTCATGGAAAGTCATCATGCATTAACTGCTGCTGTATACATTCAGGACATTTTTTTTCTATATAATGAAATTCAGAAAATGGCATCTCCAATTCGTCTGGAACTGATGGCATAGTGCCTCAGGCATTTGACTGCTAAGCAGAAGATTGCTGGTTCAATTCCACCAGCCACTCTGTGGAAGGAGGACTGGACAGTCTACTTCCGTAAAGATTTACTGCGTCAGAAACCCAAAGGGGTCGTTATGAGTCAGGATTGATTTGATGGCAGTGAGTTTTGAGCCCCATTGGAGGAGAGGTTGTTTGGGATCCTATCTCGGTGATCTGCCTTTCCACTTGATTTTCAGAAGCTGCATATACTCTCCTGTTATATGACGAACTGCTGGAATGGTCTGATCGGCCCCTCAGAGAGTTTCTGACATACCCGATGCAAACAGAGTGGCAGCGCAAGGAGCACCTGCACCTCACCATCATCCAGAACTTTGACAGAGGCAAAGTAAGTGGCCCTGCCCGACCTGTGGTCACTCTCCCTTTATTTCTAGTTCATTGATGCCCACCTCCTTGGCCAAGGATCCTCAAATTTCTCTGTGGATTAGCATCACCCAGGAGCTTATTAAAATGCAGATTCTTGGGATTTACCGCTCGGCTTTCTAATTTAGAATGTTTGGCATGGTGCTGGGGAATATATGATTTTAATGAGTACTCTAGGAGATTCCAGGGTTTTTGAACCTTGGACCACACTTGGAGGAACACTGATGTAGAAATTTTGACCATAAAGTTTTTTATTCTCTGAAAACCCATCATTACCTCCCAGTCCCCCAAATTAGCATGTGTTCTGCCCTATTCCACTTTTCTTTTTTTTTTTCTAATAAAAAGTAAGTTTTTTTTTAAAAAAAAAAAACCTTACTTTCTTTAATGAATTTTGCGAAGTCCCATTATATGCTTAGAGATGGCATAGGGTACTGAAAACTCTCACTGGCCTTAAAAGGCAATTGAGTTCACTTTCTCGTTCCACCCCTCTCTCTGCTAGGGCTTTTAGTACTCCTTGTGACTGTAACTACAGTTGTTTACTTGATTTGAAGACTTGGATACTTGGGTGATACGTGTCTTAGATTAAATATATCCTCCAACTTATCAAAGTTAAACAGAAAATTAAAATACAACCAGTAGCTGTCATTCTTTTATAAAACATAATTAGGTACACTTGAAAATTTGATACTAGGAAATTGCTTCTGTCCTATTCTCCTTTATTTATCTAACTGTGCTGACATATCATTATGTTAATAGTGAAAGAAAAGCCTTTGTTCTCTTCTGCTGTAAAACTGTTATAAAATCTCTGGTTGCGTGTATTGGCCCATTCCTAGGAGTTTGTCCTCCATGAGGGGTTAGGAAACAACAGCTTGTGGGCCATATCTGGCTCACCACCTGATTTTGTACAGCCCATAAGCTAAGAGTCATTTTATGTTTTTAAGTGGTTGAAAGAAATCAAAAGAAGAAGAATTATTTCATGATGTGAAAATTGTATGAAATTCACATTTCACAGTCCTTGGATAAGGTTCTGTTGGAACATAGCCACTCACTCTCACTCCTATCTGTGCTTTTGCCCTACAACAGCAGAGTTGAGTAGTTGTGATAAAGAGTATATGGCTTGTAAAACCAAAAGTATTTACCATGTAGCCCTTGCAGAACAGTTCTGTACTAGATCAAAGAATCTTTGCATTTCTGCCAAAAGTAACCAGCTGGGTTATACACTCACAATTTGTAAGAGCCATTTAGCCAAGTAAGGAATCTGGGGTGCCATTTCTAGAGAGTGAGGCCTTTAGAGGTCAACAGTAAGCCCCCCCTCAGCACTGAGGGTCTGTGAATATTCATCTCCTTGGCCATTGTGGAACTGTTGTTGTTATTTCATGAAGATGATTCTGAAATGACACCGACATAATATTGTTTTGGCACTATGTGGTAATGACTGTTGTTACAGATTACCATTTCCAACTCTCTGAAGATTTTTAATACTTTACATGTTGTTTTCATGCTTAATATTGGCCTGATATGATTAAAGTTATGCTATGGATAAAGGAGTCCAGCTAGATGATCTGAAAGCAGTCTCATCCTAACTCTGGGCGGAGCTAAATGTTGTGCAGTTGTTACATTTCTATCATTCATTCATCTGCAGTGTTGGGAGAATGGCATTATCTTGTGCCGGAAGATTGCCGAGCAGTACGAGAGCTATTATGACTACAGAAACCTGAGCAAGATGAGGGTAATGTACTTAGATGCATCCTAATCAGTCTGTGGCATCCCTCTTTGGATTAGCTTTCCTGTGGGGTTCTATGAAATTAACTCTGATCATATCGATGTGTTTTGTAGAAACCTTTTTTTTTTTTTTAAGATAAGTGTTCCCTCTGAAGTATACTCTGCTATTTATACAGAGAAATTGCAAATTGATCTATGTGATGCTTTTGATTAATATGCAGAAAGTAAGCCCTTGATCTAGTCTAAAACATCACATCTGAAATACAGAATCAAATCCAGGATTGATACTATATTGTAGAACATCTGCCCATTGTTTGAAGAGCTTTCTACTTGTACACATATCTCTGTAACAATATATCATCCATAATCCCTTAACCTGCAGAGCAAATTAGTAGAAATGGCTAGCTGGCTCATTTTAGAATAATTTGGGACCGAATTCTATAGGTATTGACTTCCTGTAGTTTCAGAAATAGGGTTTTATTTGCTAAACCTAAACCAAGTTCTTGGTACCCGTGAGGTCAAGAAGTTTAATATTCTGTGTCCTTGAACCAGATATTCTATACCTTCTTTGCATTCAGGTTCAAACAGGTCCTGTTGCCCTCCAAATCTTATTCTGTAGAATCAGGAATATTTGTGCTATCTTGTAATATATAAGGTCCTAATAAGTGCATGAGCTATTCAGGGTTTCTAAAATAGGATCATCAGCTTTTATATATTTAAAAAAAAAAATTATAAAGTTGCCTTTTCATTTTGAGGTATCAATTTAAGAAATGATAACCTTAAGCTTTAACAGCTCATACAGTCCATTACACCCCAAGTAGACCGTTCAATGGGCAGGAGTCAGCCCTGTACGTTTAGTGTAATATTTCATGTCAGCAGCTCACCGTTACTTCTCCTAACATGAAAAACCAGAGAGAAACCTTGTTTTGACTTCGATCCATCATGCTGGCTCTGGCAGGCACTGCAGTTTACATAAAAATGTTGGTGTGCTTTTCTTGGCATCCTGTCCCTGCAACAGAAGTGAGGTTACAATGTTTATCCACTAGAGCCCTTGGGTGCCGTAGTCACTAAGAATTTTATAAACCCAGAGTATTACACTTCATGCCAACTGCTCTTTAGGGTGCTGTTAACAGGGGGTGGGGAGAGGGTGGGGGTCTTCAAGTACAATATTAGCCTTTTTCTGGAAGCCCTGGGGATGATAATACCATGAATGAGAAACCATAGCTTATATGCCTCATAGTCTCAACATTGTCAAAGATGTGCTTCACAGCTTTGTGCGCAGACAGCACTTTGCACCATGGGCCTCCCTCGTTTGGTGTGTCACTTTATCCCTGTCCAACCTGAGCATGGGTGCACCTTCCAAATTCCTGAATTGAATTACATTGATAGATGAGTACATATGGCACTGGAAGTTTCCAGAAAGGTATTGCTTCTAATAGTTCATGTTACTTTCTATTTAATCATGAAGAAAATGTTTCTTAGGTAAAGTCTGTGTGCATAGCAATCATTTTCTTTAATGATCCAGATGCTGTTATGTCTATTCCAACTCTTGGCAACCCCCTGTGTGACAGAGCAGACCTGTGCTCCACAGGGTTTTCAGTGGCTGATTTTTCACAAGTAGATTGCCAGGCCTTTTTTCCAAGGTGTCTCTGGGTGGACTCAAACCTTCAACCTTTCCAGTGGCAAATAGTTAGCTTAGCTAGTTGCACCAGCCAGGGATTCCTTTCTCATGATAACGTGTAATAATTCACTTGATTCCCTTAAAGCAGGGGTCAGCGAACTACAGCCTGTGGGGCCAGCAGAGCTGAGTAGTTGTGACTAAAATATTTGCTGTCTGGCCATTTACCAGGAGTCCTGGTGGTAGAGTGGTTAAGCACTCGGTTGCTAACCAAAAGGTCAGTGGGTTGAACTCATCAGCTACTTTGCATGAGACAGATGTGGCAATCTGCTTCCATAAAGATTATGGTCTTAGAGGCATATGAAGCGAACATTTACAGTAGGTAGATACACTCCTTGGAGAGAACAATCATGGGAGAATAGAAGGGCTGTGTATGCACAGGGAGACAGCTCAGGGGGCAGGAGTCCATGGGAGGGAAGGACACAGAGAAGACGTAACTATGGGGAGGAAGTGGGAGGGGAGCTGATGCATTGTGGTAAATTGTAGTCAATGTCATGAGACAGTGTATGTCAGCAGCTGTATGGAGATAGAATTTGCTCTGTAAACTTGCACCCAAATCACAATTAAAAGTAAAATTATGGTCTTGGAAACCCTATGGGGCAGTTCTAGGCTTTCCTATAGAGTTGCTGTGAGTCAGAAACGACCTGATGACAACAGGTTTTCTGAACAAGTTTGCCGATTCCATCCTTAAAGCTTAAAAGAAAGTCAGACCTTCTTTTCTGCAAACTGAATTAAAATGAACTTCTCTTTTATGTAGAAGAAATATTCTCATCTATAAAAGAATAGAGCTACAAGGTGAAATAAAATATTTGGAACTTCTGTGCTTTGTAGATGATGGAAGCCTCTTTGTATGATAAAATTATGGACCAGCAACGGCTTGAACCAGAGTTCTTCAGAGTTGGATTTTATGGGAAGAAATTCCCGTTTTTCTTAAGAGTAAGTACTGTACTATTTAATTTGCTTTTTTATATCTAATATAATTATACCAATCAAGAAAAAAATTAATGTTAATGATATCATATCCTCCTAAGACATGTAGTAACACCAAGACAATTTTTTTATCCTTTTAGTTTGTAAATGCCATACTAATCTAGAATATCTTGTTTTGAATAATTTCCCAAGATATAAAACTATCTATCCCCTTTTTAGTATGCTATAGGATATTTACATGCATTTTTTGGTAATTTTGTTTCTTTTGTGTGTTTTCACTATTCTATTTAGCCTTTGATTTCCAAAAGATGTTAGAATTAGAGAAAAATGTGGAAACCCCAACTCCAGAATTATCTGAAGAGCAGTGTTTGGCCTATTTGATTACTTTGTGAAAAGATAAATATTACCCATGAATAAACCCATTTATTTGCTATTATAAACTATTTCTGCAAAGGAAAATTTTCTGAATGTTCTAAGAGACCTGTTGCTGCCAGTTGCCATTGAGTTGATTCTGCCTCATGGCAATGCCATGCATGTCAGAGTTAAGGTTTGTCCACAGTGTTCTCAGAAGCATATTGCAGGCCTGTCTTCCACGGAGCCTCTGGGTGGTTCGAACTGCCCACCTGTAGGCCAGTAATTGAAGGCTTAACCATTTGTGCCACTCAGGGAGCCATCTAAGGTACGTACTAGATACTAAGACATTGGACTCCATTCTCCCTATTTTTCACATTGGTGCTAAGTAATATTTTATATGCTTGATTATTTAGCACCTTAACATCCACCACTCCTTGGAAGGAAGATGGGGCAATCTACTTCCGTAGTGATACTGCCTTGGAAACCCAAGGAGGGGGCGCTATGAGTCGGTACGACTCGACTGCAAACAACAACAATAACATCTTCTTTATCTAAAAACATTGGTTGAGAGAGGAAATGTACCTCCTCCAGCAACTAAGGAGAAGTGTTTGGGATAATTTGTAAAATTGAGGCAACTTATTATAACTTTGGGAGCTCTGATAGCATAGTGCCTAAGGCACTTGACTGCTAACCAGAAGGCTGGTGGGTCAAACCCACCAGCCACTCCTCAGAAGGAAGGTTGGGCAATTACTTCTATAGTGATACCGTCTTGGAAACCCAAGGAGGGGTCACTATGAATTGGGTCCAACTCGACAGCACATAACAACAAAAACAACATTATAACTTTAAATCTCATTATACAATTGTTTTGGTATTTATGTTGCTCAAAGTTTTGATTTGACTATGTCAATACATATGAGTAGACACGTAGGATGCGAGTATTTGAGAAGGAAGGGAGAAAGATTTGACTTCAAGAATCAGATTTGTTTAATAAACATTAACTTATTTGTCTTTTAGAATGAAGGCTATAAATAATATGTAAATATGTATCCTGAAGTATTATTGTATTAATAGTAATTATATAGACTGTGTTACATATAAGGAGCTTTGGTGGTACAGTGGCTGCTAACCAAAAATGTCAGTGATCTGAACCCACCAACTGCTCCACAGGAGAAAGATGAGGCAATCTGCTACCATAAAGATTTACAGCCTTGGAAACCCTATGGAGCAGTTCCACTCTGTCCTTTTAGGATCACTATGTATTGGAATAGACTCAGTGGTAGTGGGTATTATTTGTTTTTTTTGATGTTACATACACATTAGTTGTTACACATGAACAAATAATCAAATGATAGGTTGATATTTTCCTTAATTGATTGAAATGGCCGAATATTAAGGAGCTCTGGTGGTGTAGTGGGAAGGAAGGTTGGGCAATCCTACTTCCGTAGTGATACTGCCTCGGAAACCCAAGGAGGGGTCGCTATGAGTCGGGGGCTGACTTGACGGCACATAACAACAACAACAACAACCAAAAGATCAGTGGTTTGAACCCACCAGCTGCTCCACAGAACTAAGATGGTGCAATCTGCTTCTGTAAAGATTTATAGCCTTGGAAACCCAACGAGGGTCACTGTGAGTCGGAATCAACTCACTGGCTGCAAGTTTGGTTGTTTTTTTTCTGTTTTGACATAATGTTTAAATCTCTTTGTGGCTCTAAAAGAGAGTCCTCCCACCGTTGTGCACGGCCACAGAATTGACTCAGAACAGTTGTTGGATTTAAAGATTATGTTTTGGAAGTGGGAATGCTGCCTCTCTGAGAAATGCAGGCAACCCAGTGTGACTTTGCTTCCGTAGCACCTATCCTCTGTAGAGCATAAAATCACACAAAGTAAAAGATTAGTTTTTTCCCCACATTGTACCCAAGGCTGTGAATGAGCCATCATGCACGGTAAATAAAGCACTTAACCTACTGCCATCGGGTCGATTCTGATTCACAGCAGCCCCCATTGAGTTTCCAGGGCTATAAAGCTTTATGGAAGTAGATTGCCTCATCTTCCTACCATGGAGCAGCTGATAGGTTTGCACCTCCGACCGTCTGGTTAGCAATCAAATACCTTACACACTATGCCACCAGCCTAAAAACCAAACTCAGTTCTGTGGAGGCATTTCCAGGGCTTCCAAGGTAGTATCTTGGAAGTAGATCACCCAACCTTCCTTCTAAGGAGTGCCTGGTGGGTTTGAACCACCACCCTTCTAGTTAGCAGTCATATGCTTTAGGCACTACACCACCAGATCTCCCTAGGGTTCCTTTAAAGGTGAAGTGCTTAGAGATCACAATAAGTGAACTTTTAGGTTTAAGAAAATGTTACCACATATGTAACATTATATATCATATAATTATGTATTAGAAAATATTAATATTGGTAAATTCACCTTAATACTAAATTAATCATACAATATATTTTTTAATATTTTTTATGGAAGAAGAGAACCATGAAGGCAAAAGTACTAGGGTGTAATTCAGCCCTGAGAAAATTCTAGCTCATCTAGGAAGTGCACTCTGAGATACCATAGATAGCTACCTAAAAAAAAAAAACCAAACTCACTGCCATGAAGTCAATTATGACTCATAGCAACCCCTCCTTGGGTTTCCGAGGCAGTATCATTGTGGAAGTAGATTGCCCAACCTGCCTCGCGAGGAGTGGCTGGTGGGTTTGAACTGCCAGCCTTCTGGTAGCAGTCAAGTGCCTTAGGCACTATGCCCCAGAGCTCCTAGATGGCTACCTAGTAAGTGCAATTATTGATGATTAAAGTGTAAAAGTTAAAAAAAGATCAGAAGTAGTTTAGGAGTGAAATTTTAAAGGGAGTTTAGCAAATTAGAAAACTCTATCAGCAGTTTTTTAAAAAACAGAATAAAGTTTTTATTTACTAGAATAAAGTTTGTTAAAAAAAAGTAATTAGCATAAATCAATCTATCATTGTTGCTGTTGTGTCATTAGGCTTTTTAAAGCAGCTTTTCTGAATATAAATGGATTTTCCTTCCAAATGAAAGAGAAGGGTCACCCTCTGTTGGATTCTACAGGGCACTGCACTTTTGAGAATAATGAGGCTAGACTTGTTTTTAGGAAATCAGATTCCAATCTGCTCTCACATTCAAAAACAAAAAACAACATAAAAACTACCTTTCATTATTTGATCAGTTTCAAGATCATTTTAAAGATAAAATTAATTAATACATTATATAATTGTATGATCTAAATAATTTTTTTTCCCTGCATGAAAATTGGGTTTTTAAAGAGTACTGAAAATATGACCCAGCATTTCCACTCCTATGAAAATTGAAAACATATGTTCACACAAAACCTATGTATAAATATTTATCGTGGCCAGAAAGTGGAACCAACCCAAATGTCTGTCAGCAGATGAGTGGGTAAACAAAATGTGGATATCCATACAATGGCAATAAAAAGGAATGAAATACTGATACACACTATGACATGGCTCAACCTTAAAAAATTATGTTAAGTGAAGGAAACTAGTCACAAAAGGCCAAAAATTATATAAATCTCATTTATATGAAATATCCAGAATAGGCAAACCTATAAAGACAGAAAGATGAGTGGTTTCTCAGGATTGGGAGGAAGGGACAGAGAGGGAGTGATGCTAATGAACATAGGGTTTCTTCTTGAGAAGAATGTTCTTAACGAAAATGTTCTGAAAGTAGACAGTGATGATTGTTGTGCAACTATAAATATATTAAAACCACTGGACTATACACTGTCAAAGGATGAATTTTATGGTATGTGAATTATGTCTCAATTGCAATATTATTATTATTATTTTTAATATTGATGGAGGAAATGCCTAATGACTTTTTATTTCCGGGAAATCCAAATATGAGACCCAAAAGTTATTTTACTTCAAAATGACTTTAACACTAGTGAATGTGTGTATTAGAGTAATTTTCCTGGTTTTATAAACTGTTGTATCATAAAACCGTTGTTTAAAATTGTTTTCGTCATTAGGGCATTCAGGTGCTGATTCTGGGACTCCTGTCACATACATCAGCCAAATTTTTTATCTTTTGAGAGAATTTATCTAATGCAAAAGTTATTGAACAATATAATATCACATGCAAGTAAAAGTTTGCTGAATATTATTCAGAGACAGTTGTAGCAGTGCATGGACGGGGAGCTGCCAGAAATTTAAGCCAGATTCAGAAGAGGACATGGAAAGAGGAATTTCATTGTGAATGTCAGATAGATCTTGGCTGAAAGCAGAGAATACCAGAAAGATGTTTGCTGTGTTTTATTAACTATAAAAAGGCATTAGACTGGGTAGATCATAACAAACTATGGATAACATTGCAAAGAATGGGAATTCCAGATCACTTAATTGTGCTCATGTAGAACCTGTGCATAGAACAAGAGGCAGTTGTTTGAACAGAACAAGGGGATACTGTGAGGTTTAAAATCAAGAAAGGTATGTGCCAGGGTTGTATCCTTCCACCATACTTATTCACTCTGTGTGCTGAGCAAATAGTCCAAGAAGATGGACTACCTGAGGAAGAATGTGGCATGAAGATTGGAGAAAAACACATTAATAATCTGTGATGTGCAGATGACATAACTTTGTTTACTGAAAGGGAAGAGGTCCTGAAGCACTTATTTATAAAGATTAAAAACTACAGCCTTCAGTATGGATTATACCTCACATAAAGAAACAAAAATCTTCACAGCTGGGCCAGTAAGCAACATCATGATACACAGCGGATATGTTGAAGTTCTCAAAGATTTCATTTTACTTGGATCTACAATCAATGGCCCTGGAAGCAGCGGTCACAAAATCAAAGGACATCCTTCACTGGGCAAATCTGCAAGTGTTCAAAAGTAAAAATGTCACTTAGACGATCAAGGTACACGTGACCCAAGGCATGGTATTTTCAGTTAACTCATATGCATGCAAAAGCTGGATAATGGATAAGAAGACTGGAAAAGAATTGATGCCTTGAATTGTGGTGTTGGCAAAGAGTACTGAATATACCAGGGACTACCATAAAAATAAACAACCCTGTCTTGGAAGAAGTAAAGCCAGAATACTCCTTAGAAGCAACGAAGTTAGACTTCATCTGATATATTTTGGACGTTATCAGGAGGGACTCAAGAAGGACATCATGCTTGGAAGTAAAAGGTTAATGAAAAAGAGGAAGATCTTCACCAATATGTATGGATTGACAAAATGGCTGCAACGATGGGCTCACGCACAGCAGCGGTTGTGAGGATAATGCAGGACTGGGCAGTGTTTCTCTCTGTTGTCCATAGGGCCACTGTGAGCCAGAATCACCTTGATGACATCTAGTAACAACAGTAAGAGTGCAGCTCATGAAAATAAAAAAAAAGAGTGAAGCACATGGTTTTTGCCTTACATTTTTAATAATGGGTAAATTTATCAGACTGTTCCTGCATAACTTTTTTCTTATGGTGTATTAATATGTGGTCAGTTACTGCCAGTGTCAAAATTTTTGGCTTCTCTACATCATTAATTTACCCAATTATATAACCAGGATTTTTTTTTTTGGTTTTGTCTCCAGAATAAGGAGTTTGTGTGCCGAGGGCATGACTACGAGAGGCTGGAGGCCTTCCAACAGAGGATGCTGACCGAGTTTCCCCATGCCATCGCCATGCAGCATGCCAACCAGCCCGATGAAACTATCTTCCAGGCAGAAGCTCAATGTATCCTATCCCCCTGCAGGAAGGCTGCCTTCCAGCTAGATGGCACAGACCATGAGCTGCAGAGTATTTTTACTGTAGTTTGTTCCAGCCACTGGTGCCTTTTTAATAGCCATGTTCATATTTTCCCTCTCTCTCATCATCTTAATTTTAGTTTGGCTCCTTCTCAACAGAATTTAATTATTCTGGGTTTTTTTTTAATCAAAATGTCAGTTGAAAAGAAATCCCTTAAATATTCTGTTAAAGAATTTTTTCCTTTTAATTAAAATTATTCTGTATCTCACCTTTCCTTTTAAAGCTCTTTTTAATGATTCTTAGTGATTTCTCCATCATCCCCTGTAGTAACTACTTCAGTTCAAGGAAGTAATAGCACTGCATTTACTGGTGCACATCATTCCTATCGTCCCTGCCCTTGTCTCCAGAGGTATTTTATGGTGGAATAAAGAAGAGAAGTGGTCTGCCAGTATCTTTTGAGGACTCTTAGCCATGGCATCCTGAACAGCTTTTAATAATTGCTATATAAGAACCACACCCATTGTCTAAAATGAACAACTCATCTGAAATTACACAAAGGTCAGGAATAAAGGAAAGTCACCCCAGCACTACTTTCCAAATCCTTCTGTCTCTCCCTGGAAAATGATGGTCTTAAAGAAGGCCTGAAATTCCCACTAATAATTATAGATGCCACTGCAATGCAGAAACCAAAATGCAAGAGAAGCGGGAAATTACATAAGGAATAATATTTTGCTGTCCTCTTTGATGAGAAGGAGGTGAATATACAAGTAAATATGACATAGTTTTCCTGTAATTTGTTAAAATATTTTAATTCAAAGTAAATATTTAGCTTATTAATAGAAAATTTGAGAGAGTAGTTGTTGCAAATATTTGAAGGCAGGGAATGTGGAGGATCACACAGGTAAATGAAAAGTTGTCAGTGTTCTAGTTTCTGTCTGTTGTTGTTGTTGTTGTTTGCCATCGAGTTGGCCCCGACTCATAGCGACCCCTCCTTGGGTTTCCGAGGCAGTATCACTATGGAAGTAGGAATGCCCAACCGTCCTTCTGAGGAGTGGCTGGTGGGTTTGAACCGCGAGCCTTCTGGTTAGCAGTCAAGTGCCTTAGCCACTATGCTACCAGAGCTCCTCTGTCTTTGGTAGTTGGTGCCTAAATATATCTGTGTGTGTGTATATATGTTAATTACTCAGGGTTATAATTAGTCCAATTCTGAGTATCTAAGATCCAAGTCATTCCCATCCACCCCCACAAAAATATAAGTGATATGTAAACTTATGGGTCATACAGATTTCGACCTGATACTTTGTCAAATCACCTACCTAGAAATAGTTCAAGGCTTATAGTTTAAGAAATGATTTTCTATCAACAGAGTTCTTGGCAACTTCTTGGCAGTTTTTTAAAACGACTTTGACCCAAATGGAAACACCAGAGTGTTGCTCGTCCATTTGTCTCTGCCAGAGCTCATCTCAAGGCAGACTTCTGGGGTGTTTTCCAAGTCAGTTTTCCTCCTTAACTCTTAATCCTAGACCTGCAGATCTATGCTGTGACTCCCATCCCAGAGAGCCAAGAAGTCCTGCAGAGAGAGGGCGTTCCTGACAACATCAAAAGTTTCTATAAAGTGAATCATATCTGGAAATTCCGCTACGACAGACCATTTCACAAAGGGACTAAAGATAAGGAGAATGAATTCAAGGTACAAGAGTTCTTATTAATACTGTTTCCAGAGATAGATTATGAATTCCTCGGGGGCAAAACCACTAGTAAATAGTTTCTCAGAATAGCAAAATTTGGTTGAACCAGAAGGAACTATAGAAATAAATCATTTAGTCTCATGGTTCTCAAAAACTCTGCAGTGTGTCAGAATGACACGGAGTGTTTTCTAGGCCCTTGTTCAGGAGTTCTGACTCAGTGGGTCTGAGCAGAAGCCTAGAAATCAGCTTTTTTGTGACAATTCTAATTCCAGTGGTCTTCAGACCATTCTTTGAGAGCTCATGATCACACCCAATCCTCTCATTCATGTTGAACCAATTGTAGAAACCTAACAGTGTGAATTCTCAGATATCATGCAGTACAGTGAATAAGGAATACTTAATGAACAGGCAGACAGATGATTCCTGAAACAGGGAACAGTTGGATGGACTGCTGGTGTGGTGGGAAAGTTCATGCTATCTTCCACTGCTGCTTCTTGTTAGAATGGTATATAATTAGGACTTTTGAGAGGACCTAGGAAAAAGCAAACCTTGGATTCCTTGTCACATGTTGAGTTCGCGGTTCTCAGTAGTTACAATATGCTTTACTAACTCAGAGCTCTATCAGCCAGACAAGGTAAGATTTCTCATTCTGGGGGAAAGAGGCAATATTGTACAGCAGATAATTATAATCTGCCCTTTACTTTACAATATTGACATCGTGAAATCCGATAGATTCCCAGTCAGCCAGTATTTACCCCCTAAACTAAGAATACAAAGCAAGCTTATTATTGGGGGTTAACTGGCTTAGCTACCTGTATCACAGATATTCTCTTCTTAAAACAGGAAATATTTCCCTAATCCTATCAGCAGTGATTGTATAATGTTACTGCCCCTTGTCAGCTCTGCATAAGTGTCAGTTCCCACCACTCCCAGGAGTACATCCAGCCATTATTCACAGCAAAGTAATCGAAAGGGAAGTTGTGATCATTTTGCAAAGTTATGATGCGGCTGAGTAAAGAGCCATCTCTTGGGCAGGGAGGTAGGATGTGTTAAGTATCCAGCGAAAGAGATCATTGGAAAATACCATGGGGATGTTACAGAAAAGGTCCATGATCATTTTCTCCTCCTTTCTGGAGACGTATATTTTTCTTTTTGCCCTCCAAAACCAATTAAAGACCTAGTTAGCTCATGTACAGTTTTCTTTGCAAATGCTTCCACTGCATATTAAGTCAAAGATTCATTGGAGTCAATTAACTTAGTCAAAGTTCCATTCTGATTACTAGCAGAGCCTGTACGAGAACCCCTATCTTTTGACTCCTCCATTGCTGTTTCTACTGCATTTCCTTTATTTATCCATGGAATAGCAATCAACCTTAAAAAAAAACAATATAAAGTAAGTCTGGCCCCTTATTCCTGTGCCTTCAGCCCTTGGAATCAGGCTCCCAACAGCCTCTCCAGAAGCCTCATCTCCTCCGCAACCCACTCCCCCACCCTGCCTCTAGCCCCAGCAACACCAGGCTTCTCTCTTCATCCCTTGCTGTGCCCTTTCACAAGCCTCTCCAAGTGTGTTCCCACTGCTTCCAGCAGCCTGCGCGCTTCCCCCGCTCTCTCCTCCTGCAAACTCCTACTCACTCTTCAAAAACTGAGCTCACGTGTCACCTCCTAGAGAAGTGTGTCCTCCTCCCACAGGATGCCATGCAGGCCTGCTTCTGCCCGCTGGTCCGCAGCACCTGGATCACTCCTGTCTGTATCTGATGCCCTCTGCCACCACCCGAGCACCACAGGCTCCTCTCACGGGGCTCTGCCCTGTTCATTGGGGTTCATCTTGGCAGGCACACAGAAGTCCTTGCAGTTTTTGTTGTTGATGAACAAATGGCCCTATTTCAGAAATCCTGGAAAGTGGGTTATCCTTTATTTAATAAGTAAGTAAAAATGAGTCATAGATACAGAAACGTGGTTGACAGAAGAGAAACTTACCATCAACAGTATCTCTTACTAAAGCAGCTGTGCTTTCACGTGTGCTGGGGCTGGGGATACCTATGTCATCAGCAGGAGCCTTGCTGTAGAATGCAGATAGTGTGGACACTCACAGGTCAGATGGGCACGAGGGAACAGATCATTGAGTATGGCAGTAGAGGAGGAGCCAGCAGATCTAGTGTCTAGTGCTGGCTTCACCAGTAATTAGACTGTAACTTTGAGCAGGTCACATTACCTCTCTGGTGCCGTGTGTCTTCATCTTTAAAATGATGAAGATCTTTTGTCAAGACAAAGGTTGAGCTATGTGATTTCTGAAGTCCTTCCCTCTTTTAAGACCTTGTTATTTTAATCTTGTGGTGACTACTGATGCTATTACCCCTTCAGGTTGAAATGCCTAGACCTTTAGGAGTGAAAAGTATTTCAAGTAGAATTTAAGATTTTAGAGAAATAAAGAAAATAATGCACTTTCCTCACAGATATTCTCTTCTTAAACCAGAAAATATTTTCCTAATCCTATCAGCAGCCTAATTTTAGGCATCCTGCCTGGAGAAAATTTATCCTACAGAGGAAAAAAAAAAAGTTACAGGAGATACACAGTGCAATTATAAGCATAAGCTTGAGCAATGTGTGATGGCTTCATGCAAAGGAATTGCTAAAGTGCTAGAAGGAATACTAATGAAAAGTTCAGTGAAATGAGCAAAACCTGATAAAATGGAATGGCAAACATAAGTCATAGCTCAGAATGAAGGGAAACTCAAGGACTTAATTTGTTTTGTATTTTGTAGAGTCTCTGGGTGGAGAGAACGTCCTTATACTTGGTACAGAGTTTACCTGGGATTTCCCGCTGGTTTGAAGTGGAAAAGCGTGAAGTGGTAAGGATCAGAGCTTATTCCCATGTACTTTCTCCTCACAGTTGCACACCTGGAGTTGTGCTGTATATTAATTGCCTCTGCTCTTGACTTGAAGTCCCTGGACGCACTCAGTGAGCTAATGAATGTTTGATATTGACCACTATTATCAAGCCTGTGAAGGTGAACATCATGACTGTCCTCATCCAGCCAGCCACAGGAACTCCTTGAAAATAGCTGTTATTACAGAATGTAAAGAATGGGGCCATTGAGTTAGGACTGGGATTCCAGCTCCTGTAATTACTGTAGCTGTGTGACCTTCAGTGCTTACTATGTGTCAGGCCTATGCTAAGAAGATGACCTACATCGTCTTGTTTAATCATATCAAAGCTGTGAGGTATGTGTTCTTGTCTGTATTTCCATAATTTTTAAATAAGAAGTTAGAACTCTTCACCAGGGGTCATATAGCAAGACCTTGAAAAAGGAGAGACACCCAGTTTCTTCTGGCTCCAAAGTCAGTATGCTAATCGGTGTTAAAACAGAAATCATATAAATGGGAGCTCTGGTTGTACAGTGCCTGAGGCATTTGACTGCTAACCAGAGGGCTGGAAGTTCAAACCCACCAGCCACTCCTCAGAAGGAATATTGGGCAATCTACTTCCGTAGAGATACCACCTCAGAAACCAAAGGAGGGGTCGCTATGAATCACAAATGACTCGACGACAGTGAGTTTGGTTTGGTACAAATATTAATTGATTGGAAGTTTATTTAATACATGGTTTGCAAATTGGGCAACAGTTGTGACTAGAGAATCAGAGGTTCCAGAGATGAAAGAACTTCCAAAAATCCTTACACTCATATTATGGACATTGCCATGGAAGAGGGCCAGAATCACATATATATACTGGTACCCCTCACTTTCTGAAAGTTTGGGGTACACCACTTTGCTTTTATGAAATACCTACATTAGTACTCGTTTTCACTAACCTAAGGAAATACAAAGAGGATTTTCCCTTTTACCAAAATAGGTGAAAAGCTCCATGAGCATTTAGCATTTGTTTTGCAGTGAGCAGTTAAAGAAGCAGTGCATACCCCAAATAGCAGGAATGGTGTCCCAAACTCATTTCCCACAAAGTATACTCAGCATCTCAGCACCAAACATATAATGTCTGTCACTCACAGTGTGTGTGAGTGTAATTTTAGATTTTATGTGTTAGTTGGTATGATTTAGTAGCTTGTTTTTTGGGTCTGGGAATGCTCAAAAAATTTTCTCATAAAGATTAATGTTGTTCCCTTGCTTTACGCCATTTCAACTTATGAAAGGTTTCTTAGGAACGCTCTTGTTTTGGATAGATAGATAGATAACAGTTCAGCCTAAAACACAGCTTCTAGTCCAACCCTGGAGTTTCTGTTTCTTGAAACTGATTGAAATCTTCAAAAGAGTCCAAGGCCCAAGGCAACACTGTCTTTACTAATTAGCAACACTAGTTTGCTCACAGTTCAAAAGATCCCCTTCAGGGCAATGGCCTGACTGGGTCACCCCAACTCTTGGGCTCCATGGATTCCAGGAGAATTAAAAACTGTTTCTCATCAGTATGTTAAGCCTCGGTCTCCTCATAGACAACAGGAGGATAGCTCAGTTTAAAAGGAGGCCCGGTGTCAATGCGTAAGTGCTCCACCAGCCACCCTGTGGGAGAAAAGACATAGCAATCTGCTCCCATAAAGATGACAGCCGAGGAAGCCCCATCAGGCAGCTCTACTCTTTCCTCTAGGGTGGTGACAAGTAGGAATTGACTTGAGGGCATATAGCGACAGCAGGGTTGTTTGGAGTGTTAAGATATGCATGTGAAGTTCCAGCACAGCATCTGACATACAATCTGTCAGTGCCATTACAGTTAGGCCGCCATTACAGTTAGGCCTAGTAGGGATGGTGGGGTATTAGTCTCAATGAGCAGCTTTGGACAAAGTATCAGCTAGAGATCAATGGGTGTCATTATAGAATCTGGCAGCCAGAGCACCCAGAAACCCTTTTGGTTATAAAACCTGCCCCGAGGGCCAGTCTCCAGTTTGGGGAGCAGGAAGAGCAGTGGCTAAGGGCATCCACACTTAGAGGAGACCCCACTCTGCTGAGTGCACTGCTCTTGAGCTGATGGCACCTTGGTGGCAGCCACAGCCCTGCAATCCTGTGGCATCCTTTCTCCCTCCCTGGTACATCTGTTATGTCTGAGGACAGCACTTTGATTCGGTCTGATAGAAAATACGCCAATAGTGAAAGTATAATTTAGGTCTTCCTTATGGACATAAATGAGCCCTTTGTGTCAGTGAGTAAACAAGAGCAGGGCATGCCCACATTGTTTCAGAAATGACATGGCCTACCTGAAATCTCTAAGCACCGAGACCTCTCTCAGCATATTGTTTTCATTTTGCAATGCCAAAAAATGAATGCAGTTCCCTAAGCAAACTGAATGCAGTTTAGCAGATAGTATCAGTGCAGTTCTATTCCTGAGTCAAGGGTCCTCCCAAACCAGTTGCTTACATGGTACATCCTGGTGCTAAACATAGTGCTCAGAAGGTCTTATTATGCTTCCTGCTGAATGGCAGGGACCCATCCTCAGAAGTGTTCTTAGTCATCCATGCTGCATTAATGATTCAGAGAGCTTTTGCAGCTACTTGCTACCCAGAGCATTAAATCCTCTGAGGTCTCACTGGTGGTCCTAGCTCCTGAAAAATTATACACACACACACATCCTACACACAACATAAAGAATAGCATGCTGATAGAGATAATAGGGGCATTACTAAACAAAGCCTTTCCAACATCAGTGCATCAGTGGCCTACTTGATTAGACTACGCAGTCTGGGTTTCACCAAACAGAACACATCAAACTGGGCTATTTTGTTCCCTGAACACAGCCCACTTTTAGCAGTCTCTATGTCTTTCTCTTGTCTCTACTGCCTGGAACCACTTTCTGTTAAAGTTACTGGCTTACTGATTGAATCCCTAATGTATAAGATTGTTCTGGTTGCCTAGTGCCACTCTGACAGAAATATACCACAAGCCTTAACAAACAGGAGTTTATTCTCTTGCAGTTCAGGAGGCTAGAAGTCCAAGTTCAAAGTGCGAGGCTCTAGGGGCTGTGTGAAAGCCCTTCGATCTTGGGCTTCAGCTCTGCCTCTTGCTCCCAGTTCACTGAAGCTAGAGGCATCTCTTCACAGCAGTCGCTGGCTGCTGAGGCTAACAAGCCCAAGTTCAACAAACAAAATGGTATAGTCCCGATGTTACCAAACCACATGGCAGGCCCTTAACTCAAGTCCATTGTAAGTCCCAAGGTCGGCAGAGCAAGACAGGTTGCTGAACAATGACACAGCTACATGCAGGGTCTAAGCATGCCATAAGCTAGAGACTAGTCCCAAGTGTCTCCTTATATACAGGAAGCAGACCACATCCCAAAGGCAGCCACTCAGCTGCTTGTGGTAGACCCCACCATGGAGTTGACTGCCAGTTTCATCATGGGGAATAACAACCACCAGCTGCCCAGCCACTCAACCAGGCCCAGCCAAGTTGACATACAAATTTAACTACCACTAAGGTCCTCAGAAAAGAGGCACAGAGTAGGTACTCAGTAAACATATGCCAAATTGAACTGAATTGAAATCCTTACCTGCAATGTCCAAATCTAAAAGAGTCTGAAAACCAAAAGATGTTTTTATAAAGTTGACTCTGAAGTTCATTTGGTAGCAAACCTAACCTGAACTGATGTAAGACCATTATGCCCTTGTGAGCCCCTCCAGCCCCCTGCCTGGAGCATCCAGCACCCCCAGACCTGCCCATGGGGGCTGTAGGCTGCCCCCTTCCTGCCAGACTAGAGAAGCTGGGGGTAATCCCAGCAGGGGGAGAGTAATCCCTTTACCCCAGTTGCCAACCAGCACCCCCC